GGGGTTACTTAAGCATTGATTCTACGCCCTTTGGTAAGACATTCCAAAATATTTGGTCTCTAGCCTTCTGTCGAAATACAAATAAAAGATTCCTCTCCAAAAATGATCAGACTGTTTTTCACCTAATTTGTTTTTAAAAATTAACATCCCCTAGTAATTAAAATATCATCACATGAAAGAAATCAAGGTATATTATATATAGGTACAAAATCCCTATGATGAATTTGATCATTAAATACACCTAAATTGTACCAATAGATTTAATTAAATTAAAAAGCTAAAATCTAAAAAGTAAAAAAAGAACAGTTCCAAAGCTCTTTATCTTAGCCACCTTGCATAAAATACTTCATCTAGTGGCAAAAATGCCATTGTATGAAATCAAACACATCTGTGACACCCCCACATACTCACTTGTGCTGGTTTTAGATTTCATCCTTACAGGGAATCAGATTCCATGACTTGAATTGTCTCTAGGTGTAGAATGTCAAATTGAAGTGACATAAATGTAAGTAAGCGCCAGTGGAGGCAGCAATGAATCGGAGAACATATGCCCACTTGAAATACTGCAAATACAGAGCGCCGACACTGGCTCTTCTGTGTACTAGCTCTCTATGTGGTCTCAAGAAAAACTCAGACTCTTACTGTGAAATTTCATATTTAGCTACAAACAACAAATTCGGTGTTTTAAAAGACCCATGTTATCAAAGTAAAAAAATGCCAAATTACTGATGACCCAAAGGAGACCTGTGAGAGTATTGGTGTCACATCCACAGTACACCCAAGTTATTGACATTATTAAATATGCTAGCTTTAGCATTTTAAAAATGATTGGGGTTTTTTTGTTGTTGTTGTTTTCTGGGAACTGAACTCAGGACTTTGTGCTTGCCAAGTAGGTACTATGCCGCTGAGCTGTATCCCCCTGGCCCTGAAAATACTTTTAAGTGGAGCATTTGAGTACTTAATTATTTCCATGCTAAAATAAGTTTACAGGGCCAGGGAGATAGTTCAGCCGTCTAAGTGTCTGTCTGGCTAGCACAAGGACTTGGGTTCCATCCCCACTACTGCACACCATGCTGGCCCCACCCTGGGCCTGCTGAGCTGATCACTGAAACTGGCTGTGGTGGTGCACACGGGTAGTCCCAGTGCTGAGGAGGCTGAAACAGGAGGATCACTATGAGTCCAAGCTGTGTAGTGAGACCTTGTACCAAATACATAAATTTAAACAAATAAGTTTACAAACATATTCCACACATTCGAGTTGCTAACGTTCACAGATACCAACAGACCTCACACTACAACCCTTCCTAGATGTGAGCACATAAGGAAGTACTGGGGGCTTGCGGGACATTGTCACAGTTGTGCTTAGTGTGCAGTGTGATGGCGCACAGTAACTCAGGGCTCTGTCAGAGCCCAGGATGTCCGGAAGCAGAGGAAAAGTGGTGGTGACAAGGACAGCATAGCAAGGATGCACAAAGCACTACAATTCTGTCAAAGGCAAAGAAGACTCACTTTGTCAGACTTAAGAACAAATCAGGCTCACAAATGTCCTCTCAGAGCAGAACTTGTTTATGAGTTAGGGACTTACAGTATATGCAGTCTTCATTTTTTTGTTTGTTTGTTTGTTTTTGCAGTACCAGGGATTGAACTCAAGACCTTATCATGCTTATTCTCCTGAGCTGTCTCCCCCGCCCTCAGTCTTCATTTTTATTGTTAGGACAGCTTCCCAACAGAAGTAGTATTGTGAAAATATAGTATTAAAACTATTAAAAATCCTAGAGCATTTTTACATCAGTATATTGTGACATTCGATTACTTTTGAGGCATCTAGTGAAGTTTTTAGGGGGCCAGTATATGCTATGAAAAGTTACAGAATATTTCCCTTCAGTATTGAAGCCAAATGCCATCAAACCATCTTGTACTTTGTATCTTACTGCAGTGAAGTTCTTCGGCAGTCAGATATGCTTTTCGCTGCCTCCAAGTCCTCTCGGTGTGGGACATGTGTGATGTGACTTCAGAACAGGAATCAAGCTGCACACACATACACCCTGCGTGTGACCTTTTGGGCCCCTCACAGGCAACTTCCAAGGCCACCCCCCTTGCTTCCCTTCCACCCCAGGCTTGGAGGGGTTGAGTCAGCCTTGACCCTGTGTGTATCTGCCTTCAAGGCCTTTATTTGCAGGCCGCCAATTGGGGGCCTGGCCTACACCTCTTGTGTGATTCCTCCCAGTCCACCTTATTCTGGGACCCTTGGGGACACTTTTCTTCTCTAAAACTTAATGTTCTTTCGTTTTCTACTTTTAGTCTTTCCTTCTTTTCCTGTCTCTAGCCCCCTGTACCCCCAAAGTCCCTTTTGTTCGGCTCCCTCAGAAGCAAGGAAGTGCCTCCCTCTGCCCTGATACTTCTGACCTTTGCCCTTTGCCCTTTCCTGGGGAAAAATGAGGCACTGATGGAGCAGGCAAACTCCTGGACTCTTCCTTATACCCTGGCAGTAAGCAAACAAAGGCTTGAGATTCTTGACAATTCCCTCTTTCTGTCTCCAAACACTTCACCATGAGGATGCACTACTTCTAGGAAAAGCGTGGTGACAGGACTTACACTGCTTTCAAAACTGGCCTTCCTTCTTAGCTCACAGAGATGTAAATCCTCCCCCCACATGGAAAAAAATGATGTGCCTTGATTCCTATTTCCCTGTTATAGTAAAAATACAATACCATGGCCATTAATATTTAAAATAATGTTTTGAGGATTAAACTGCAAATATTGAATGTCACCCGGTTTAAAAATTCTGCAAATCTATAACTTTATTCACAAGTGTGTAATCGAACTAAAGTGACTGTTGTTTTATTATTATGCTTTCTCTTCCCATCTCCTTATATGGGCATCCACGCCAAAAGAAATCTTAGGCTTTCCTAGTTCTCTTCTCCAGTTCTCTGCCTCGCAGGTCATACTGAATATAATATTCTATTTTAAATATCTACAAATGCAATATCAGTGAAAACTGATCAAACTGAAGAGCCCAAAGTCTCAGGAGAAGCATAAGAAAAATCATCTTGAACTGTATGTTTTCACATTAGTGAAGTTGTTTTGAAAGTTTCTAATCCGTTCCACAAAGCACTCCTTCACACATAAATTGTCACAAACACCTGCACGCCTGTTCTTCTCCTCCTCAGTGGTTTTCTTTTTCTGTCATTCCTTTACAGCTGCGGCACAGAATGTCTGATCATGAGCCACATGGGTTTCCAAGATGCCCATCCTCTTTCTGGCGTAGTAGTGATGACTCCTCTCCCTGTCTAAATGTGCCTTCCATTTCTGTCACTCCTGTCACCTCGCCTGATTCCAGACTATCACTGGGACTGTTAACACCACCGCCTTCTCAAAATGGCCTTCCCAAGCCTGTCAGTGAGAACAGCATTCCAAGACCTCATGTAATTCACAAGGCAGATGATCTTTTTTATGAACCCCCTTATTTTTTTTTAATTATCCCAGAATGTCCTTTTTCAGGAGGTAATAAGCCAATCTGTGTTGACTAAGTGTAATGGGATCTGGAGTGTTTGTGTGCATTTTTGTTGCCTTGAGATCAGAGTTTCAAGTGGAAAGTGGTGAGCACGTAGCAATCCAAGCAAGATGCAATAGGACAAGCACTTCTCAGGACCAATCAGTAAAAAAAAAAAGTAAAGTCTGGATTGTTCTGTGTTAAGTGAATAAAGCAAAAGTTGAGACAGGAAAACCAGTGTCACTTTCAAACAGCTTAGTCCTCAGAGGATGGGAAAGCAAGACAGAGGTTGGAGGAAACTCGAGGAACAGACAGAGGCATTCTGGGCTAGGTTGGGTGTCAGGGACAGATGAGATTGGAGTATTTTTACATATGAAAGAGAAGGAAGAAAGAAGCAGAGAAGGTGGAGGGGGGATTGAGTAGGACAAGTGTCCCTCAGTGAGAGGAAAGGGCTGAATGTCCCTCAATGAGAAGCAAAGGCTGAGCGTAGCGGGCAAGTTGTTAAAGAAAGCAAGATGGCTGACCTTCCACCGTGTGAAGGCATGCACCAGCAGCCATTCTGATGCAGCCGCCATCCATCACTCTCAATTTAATCCTCCTATTTTTTGTCTCCCCTGTATCATCTGTGAATCAGAAAAATTAATACGTTCTTACAACTCGAACTTCAGCATAAACACTCTCAGCTATCTCTATCCGTGGTCTTCTAGGGAAAGTAAAATTGTCTTCTCCAAAGTGAGGACTCTCCTTTATTCCAGATCAAGTGAGATGGTCCTCACAGATTTGACATGCCTATTTTCCCATTTGACACAGTGATGGGTGTCACTTTTACATTCTGCTTGCCAAAATTTTATGTAACTTTTATCTGTGTGTTCCTATATTTGTTCAGTACTGACCCACATCAGATAGTTCAATAGTTTTCTGTCATACTCATTATTATTTATTTTACAAGACAGCTGTTTATTATAGACTATGATTAAATTTTGCAGGAATAAGGTATACTGGAATGAATACCAGTTGGTACTGTACTTATAAATAGGTGTGAAAATATATTCTACTCTTAAAAATGTAAAAAATTATTAACTGCATTTGAATGTTTATAGGAAGTCACTTAAGGTTCAATTATTTCTGTTTAAGACATCTAATTTTATGCAAAGCATATTATTAAAATTATGTTTCATGTACATAGAAATGTCAATTACTTCTAGATATACAAAAAATCCGATGTTTGTTACATATCCATCCAGAAGAACATTGTCACCACCTTTGCCATCATCCTTGAGAACATTCCTGTAGAAATTTTCTATTCTTCTCTAGCACACGACAGTTTGGCCTAATAATTAAACAATCTGAATTATTAATTTGTAATTGTTATTGATCTACAAAATGTCAAGCTTACATGATTCAACTAGAGTTGCTGTAGGCATGTGTTTCATATGTCTATGAGAGACGCACTGTGACACTGTGTCCCCATGAACTTGTGCTGTAACTCATTTTCTCTGCGTTGCAGGCAGGCAGCATGGCACCCAAGTCTCCGTCCACTGACGTCTTCGATATGATCCCGTTCTCGCCGGCTTCGCACCAGGCTTCAGTGCCCACTCGCAACGGCACGCAGCCGCCCCCAGTTCCCAGTAGATCTACAGAAATCAGTAAGCTTTAGGGAGGCACCCATGTTCCTTGCTCTGCCTGGGTACAGTTTGAATGTTTAATGCTTTCAGGGAAATTCCACATCTTTATAAACTCACCAACAATTTTAATGAGGTATTATGCTTTTATGTGTGGGCCAAGTACAGTCAATTGATTCTCTTTTACTTTATATTTTAGAGAATGCTATTTAAGTCACCTTTATTTTCAAATGGAACCTATTGTAAGAAAAGTATTATGATGTAAGCTTCTTTCAGTAAGCAAGTAGTTTAATTCTATATTTCACTTGCAGTGATATTTTTTTCTAAGATCTTTTTCAATGACATTTTAGTGTTTTACTTCGTTAGAAACCATTAGTAATGATTTTAGTCACTTTGACATGGCTAATAGAGTGTGGTTTAAATATTGCAGTTATCAGAGAATACATGTATAGAGTCAAAAAGAATATAAATCATATGAATACCATGATTCAAGATTTTATTTTTGCCTTTTCTAACATGCTATAAGAACTTTGCTTTTGGTTTCATGTGCTATATGTCTGGAAGGCCCGGCAAGGCTTCTTTGTAATGGATTAGAAAGCATCCAGGAGGTGCTCATTTCAATATGCTTGGCTGTATGTTGCTCTGCACCCTTTACAGAAACTGAAAGAATACTCTCTTGTGGTTGTGAATCACTCACTAGGGCCAAGGGAAACAGAAGACATTTTATTTTATTATTTTTTTAACTGGAAAAAAAAAGTATGTATTTAGAATTAGCCAGCTGGGCTCAGTTTAGATGATCCCAATTTTCTTGACAACATCCAATGAATCACAATTGGGAGTCAGTCGGACATATGCCTTCTTCTCTCCATCAGGCCTGATTAGGGGATTGACGTTGGCAACATCAGTGTCATAGAGCTTCTTCACAGCTTGTTTGATTTGGTGCTTATTGGCTTTGACATCCACGAAGAACGTGAGTGTGGTGTTGTCCTCGATCTTTTCCAAGACTGACTCTGTCGTTGGGGGAACTTGGTGATGGCATAGTAGTCAAGTTTATTTCTCCTGGGGGCGCTCTTCGGAGGGTATTTGGGCTTCCTCTGGAGCCACAGCGTCATTGTATAAAGTAACCTACGTTTTCAAAAATCTTTTCCTCTGTTGATGGGAATTCAGACTGTTTCTAAGATCTAGGCATTACAAATTACGTTGCTGTAATATGGGTGCACATATATCGTGGTGGTATGTCTTTGGTTTAGAATGGCTGGGTTGAAGGGGAACTCTAATCCTAGTTTCTTAAGGAATCTTCACAGTGATTTCCACAGTGACTGCACCAGTCTACACTCCCACCACAGTGGAGAAAAGTTACCTTATCCCTACAGCATTTGTTATTGGTTGATTTTTTGATGACAGCCATTCTTTCTGGGGTGAGATGGAATCTCGGTGCTGTTTTAATTTGCAGCTCTCAAATGACCAATAGTGTTGAATTTCTTTTATGTATTTCTTTGCTCTTTATATTTCTTCACCTGAGAAGTGAATAACCACCTCATATGCCTGTTGTTGGATTGGGTCTTTGATTTTGAGGGCATCTGTTGTTTGTTTGTTTGTTTGTTTTCAATTCTCTGTATATTCTAGATAGAAGTCCTTTGTCTGAAGGACTACAATTTTTTCCTACTGTGTGGGTTGTCTTTTCACTGTCTTGGTGATTTCTTTTGCTGATGAAGGACATGTTGTTCACTCAAGTGTAGTTATCAAACTTTTTCTTAAACTTTAATCCAGCTGGATTTAATTTTTTTTTCAAAGTTTTATTGATAAACAGATAGCAATGAGACAGTTTCAAATCCAATCGGAAGTACAGTTTCAACAAATAATACACTGCATATATTCTTCTTAGTGGTTAATTGCTGTACACAAAGTGGACTTG